TGATACAATATTTCTCTCACTACACACTCTCTCAAAACCTTCTTTCCATTATTTCCACCATCTCGAGCTGTGTAAGATAACCACAACAACCATTGATTTGACATGCAATTAATTCCCTTGATACAAACAAGGTATGGTGTGTATCTAATCACTTCTGACTACAAGAGGACAAACTCAAATTGTCCATTTTGTCTTGAGTAACCACAATTCCTAGGAAAGACAAAAAGACAACTTGATTGGACTCCACAACCTGAGTAAAATGTTGTTGTTTTTTTGTAATTAACGACCACAATAACAAAAAGAAGATCTGTCAATACGCCAAAAAATAAGTGATGGAGTTTTTGATCAACTTAACAATAATAATCCCCATAATATATAAAATAATTGATCTCAATCTAATATATATTAATATAATACAAATATTTATTGTAAATCGATAAGCTCATGTATTGATTAGACTAATAAATGCGATATTAATTAATCATAATAAATACCTTAACCGCCTCTTAATAACTTTGTCAATAAGCTTTTGTAATATATATATATATCTATATATATATGTATAACCTCGTGTTAATCATGCGGCTTTTTTTTTTTTTTTTTAATAATTTTATTTTTTAAAAATTTATTTATTTATTTTAATGTGGTGACATTATTAGGAGGCTAGTGGGCAAACAAGGGGCCATCATTTATCAATATAAAATTCAATGACACCAACAACTTGTGTTGGTTGAAAAAAATGTACATATGCACCTATGCTTTTTCTAGCAAAATTAATTAAGTATAATAGTATTAAAATAAAATGTGGGCCGACAGCAGAAATCTTTTGTTATTACATAATATCATTATTTTTTTTATTATTATTTTTTTTAATGACATAGGAACCAAGCAAATACGGGCCACAGCAGGAATCTTTTGTTGTTACATAATACTATTATTATTATTTTATTTTTTTTTTTAATGACGTGGGAACCGCAGCAAATCCTTAATGAGTAAACTCTCGGCCGAACTTAATACTCAGCAATTGTCTTCTACTATTACATCTGATTTCTGCAATTGTCTTTTACTAATACATCTAATTTAAAAATAAGAATTTTTATTTTATTTTAATTAAAAAATTTAATGTGGGCTTTTCAGTTAAAATATTAATATAATGTTTTAAATAAAATATATAAATATTAAAATAATGCTTGTAAGAATGTTTTTACAAATAGTATAAACATAAAATTAATAATATAGTGGATTTCTTTTATATCTAAAATAAACAGTTATTTGTTTGATTTTAGTTTCAACTGAAATTTTATTTTTATTTTGATTTAAATAATATTTTAATGTGATATTTTTTTAAAGAAAAAATATATATATTTAAAAGTCAAACCAAACGTATCATTCACATTCTAATTTCCATTCTTACTTTCAAGATGTCATCATTCATGTTGTATATAAGTTGTTTAATATGATGATTTAAATATATATAAAAAAAATAATGTATTTTTTATTGGGAATATGTGAGCCGAATTGAATAATAGAATTTATTATTAGGTTTGACCGAAGTTTACTTCGGTGCGACATTTTTGGATAGCGACTGCAGATTTCCACGTTATCCAAAAAAAAAAAAAAATATTTATGTAAACATTACTTACTATAGGAAACATGCAATAAAGTGTATGTATTTATATAGAAATACATGCACTAGGATGGTTAATAATAAAGCAATGGGTCTTCGATTTAAATGGGCTTTAAGACTTCACCAATCCTTTAGTTTATTGGAACGGCCCATTTGATCATTTTTAATTACACTATTCCTTCCTTCCTCCACAAATTAACGTTTTCTTTTTCTATTTGAAATATTCAACAATTATTATTTTATTTCTATTTTTATACACATAATTTACTTTTTTGCCCTTATTTTATTTACTCTTTTTTTTTTCTACACACAAAATAAAGGACAAATTTGTTATTTTATAACACAAACCCTAATTACCTAAAAATACGTATAAATATTAAATAAAACATTAAAAAATAGACTGAGGGAGTATTATACTACCTTCGTCCCATTCTAAAAATCTTATTTACTTTTTGCATATTGATCTTTGAATATTAATTATTATATAAAAAACATAGTATAAATTAAGAAAAAATTGCAAAAATATTTTCATTTGTGTCTTATAATACTAATAGAAAAATATTTATACAAAAACATTATACAAATATAAAGATGTTTTTAATATTAAGTACGACGACACAAAATATAAATGTGACCCTTAGAGGCGGACGAATGAAGTATTTGATATGTATATATATTACCGATTTTAATGAATATAGACTTATATTAATTGATTATGATATAAATAAAAGAATAATGGGTAATATACGAGTCAATTAATGAGGTGAATTTTTTTTTTTTTTTTGAATAGATTACATGTGTAAAATGTAAATGTTTTGACATATATATAAATAAATATAATATCCAAGGATATAAATTAAGGATTGTACAAAGTTATTTGACATAAAAAAAAAAAAAAAAGATATAAATTTGATGGGATGAAAGAGTAATACTTATATCTATGATGGGATTACAAGATGCCGTTAGATAAAAATATGTGGAATTTTTTTTTAAATTAGTGACTAATACTAAAAAAAGTAAAAAGAATTAAATTTATTATAAAAAAATAATAATTATTCAATGTGAATTTTTTTAAAAAATAAATAAATAAAAATCATTATGACTAATAATGTCGAAACTTTTTAAAAAATATGTACTAAAGAACCTTAATAACTCAATATTGTTGAATATTAAAATTTAATATCACTTGTATAGTTGTATATTGTTCAATAGATTTCTCCTATTGTTCAATAACTTTTTTTTTTATTTTTTATCATTTAATGTATAGTTATTTAAGTTTTTTTAAAAAATTATAATATAGTTTAATATATTTGTGTTAGAGGATTATTTTTGACATATAATTCTAAAGGTATTGCAACATAGGATAGGTAATGGAAGTATTGTGCATTTAAATATTGTGTTTCATTGACATTTTTTTTTTCTTCAAATATTATTATTTGGAGTTTGAGTTCTATAAAAATAAAATATATTTCTTCAGTCCCACTATAAAATATCATTTTAGATTTTTTTTTATTAGATTTAAAAATAATAGTATTTTATTGGTTAGTAGAAAGATGTCAAATAATTTTAACATTCATGTTCTTTATATTTTATAGATAAAATTAATTAATTATATTGGTAATGATATGTTTGTAATTTATTTTAATATTAATGCGTTTGCTTTTATTATAATAGAAAAAATGCTATTTTTTAATGAGACTGATAAAAAAAAAAAATACTTTTAGTTAGAATGGAGAAAGTATTATTTCTCTTACAAAATATTATATCAAATATTATTTATATACAAAATATAAACCTAATATTCTCAACAACAAATCCAAAGAAACACGTGTATCGGTTTTAAAGTAAGTTATTTTTATAGAAGTTTTTGAAATTTTGAAAAGTTTTGAAAATGTTTTGCAATGATAAAATATTAAGTATTTAATCCGATATTTAGTAAGATTACAACAAGAACTTTGTATTGTTTTGAAAAAACTACGGTTATGCATATTGAATGCATTTCTTTTATATGGCAAATTGTGACAGACTTTTCTCTCGGTATATAACTTTGCGATGAGAATTTTTGTGTATAGACTCGCAACTCATTAGAAAAGTGCGACGACTGATTGATTTTTTTTTTTATTTTTTTATTTTTTTTCTCATTCTTTATTTTTCTTAGATATTCTTCTTTATGAAGAAACCCTTTGAATACTTTATAGTATTCTTGGTATGAAAAAGATACATTCAAGTATTTTGTTGCTAGTTTTAGGTAAACATATTAATATACATGTTTTTTTTTTTTTTTTTTTTTTTTTTTTTTTTTTTTTTCAATAGCATGTCTACTGAATATACATGAACGTAAATTCCTCTATCGAATTTGATAAACAAATTAACTAATTAAATGTGCGATTTTTATCTTCTAATTTTATGTTGTCATGTATTTTTCTTGAAAGAATGGTACAACAATCATACATCATTTTTATTTGTTAACCCGTTGTAAATATTAATATTCCGAGTACAGGACTCGGGTTTCTCATTCAAACAATTAATTATAACACAAAAAAAGAATGATCTCTTATTGGGACCAAAGCTATAAAGATACAATTGGGTCCAATTTCATATGTTAATTAACAATATAAGATATGTATATATATATGTATGTACGAATATATCTATGAGCACTTAAATGAAAGAAATTGAGGGGAAAAAAAGAAAAAAAAAATAGTGAAAAGAACAGTTGATAGATTTGAGTGTAAGAATAGAACAAACAAAAGACAACAAGATTGAAAATTACATTAGCTAAATAGAAATGGATCACATCACATGCCACTTTTAGGTTTCATCATTGTCTACACTATCAAACAACCATCATTTCTTGGCACAACACATTCATATAATAATAAATAAATAAGTAAATAAAACTTATGCTTTGTTTAGACAACAAATTTTGTAGGATTTATGATAATATAATATAATAACAGAATATTAACTACCACCATGTAATATAATTTCATATAAAGCACTGTTAGTTTCATTATAAAAAGATATATTCATATAACATACTTACAAATGTGAATTGAATAATACATTCTTTTATTTAATACAACATATCTTGTGTTAAAATCATGTATTGTCTACTTTCTTTCTTTTTATAATTTTTATTTTTACTTTTTATTTTTTATGTGTTAACTCAAACAACTCAGCACCATACTGACTTATTCCAATTAACATTATAACCATCTCGTAGATATTGTGTCTTAAATGAAAATTTAATTTAAAAATTTGTTAAATTACAGTATTTCGAAAGGATTTTGATGTTTGTTATTATTTAGGAAATAATCTAAATCCAATGTAAAATGTGTATTAAAAGTAATACCTTAAATAAAAGTTACTTATTAAATACAATATTTTGAATAAACTAAAGTTTCAATATAATATTTAAAAGTTTGTTAGCTATACAGTGCCAAATCAAAGTTGAAAACACAAGTAAACGGAGCGAATTAAAAACTTTTACAAGTTAATCACAAGCTCCAACTAAAAACCTCTTCAATCTTCTTCGTTACCTCTATCATTGTAGGCCGTTTATCAGGATCCTCCACGGCACAATCCATTGCAAGTTGCATGATTTGGATCATATCCTCCTCCACATTTTGATAGCGCAATAGTTCAACATCGAAAACTTCCACAATCCACTCGTCCCGGGCCATAGCCCGAACCCATTGGGGGAGGGTAAGCCCGTCTTCATTGATCAACGGGTGAGTTGGAGCCTTACCGGTCAGTAGCTCCAACAACACCACGCCAACGCTATAGACATCCGCCGTTTGTGAGATTTTGTAAGGGTCAAGTACCTCGGGGGCGCGATAAGAAAATGCATGTGGGGAGGTGGTAGAGGCGAGAACTAGTTGAGAAATACCAAAGTCGGAGACACAAGCCTCGTAGGATTTGGTGAGGAGAATGTTCGATGACTTGATATTGCCATGGGACACTGACGAGCCTTGTGAATGAAGGTGCAAGATTGCTCGAGCTAATCCCCGGGCAATCTTCACCCTTGTTTCCCAATTCAACGGCGTCCTCTTGGGTCCTTCGACTCCTTTTCCAATAGAGACCAACGAGCATATATTAATATATACGCAACATTGCTTAAGTAGCGAAAACAAGTTTGAAAACGACTAAATGATGCCAAGGTAATTAAATAGTTGTAATAAAAAAAAAAAAATTATAACATTTAAGGGATATTATGCATTCAATTTATATAGTTGTAGTAAAAAATTTTTTTTATAACATTTAAGGGATATTATGCATTCAATTGTTAATAGTACATGAAGTATAGATTGATCAAGTTTAATTAACACTGTGTTAATTAGCATTAATCAACAAAGTATAGATTGATAGTAGATGCATTAATATAATATAAATATAATATATAAACTGACAACATATTGTAATAGTTTACACAAATATATATTACAGATTATTAAGTTCAAAAGTTTATCCAGAATGCACTCGTCGTTATTAGAAACAAAAAAAAAAAAAAAAGTAGTATGGAACTAAAGAAATTTCAATATTGACTAGATATTTCAATTATTTGAATTTGTGACATAAAAGAACAAAGCTAGTAGGACAAATCTATACAGCCTGTTTGGGGAGATCGATACATGCACATCAATCAAAATATATATATATATATTGTCAAAAATATTTGGAAAAAAAATAAATTCAAGATCAAAAGATACACATACAAACAAGAAAAAGGAAAGACATTGAATCTTCCATTTTCATGCATTTTCAAGAAAATCTTAGAAACAAATAATCCACAAACATGAAACCCTAAAAACAAACACATAAGAAAACCAAAGATTATCATCAAAAGTTCTATAACAACAAAAGAACCATTGCAATAAATCTCCAAAAAAGTATGCAAAGTCTAAAAAAAAAACGGGACAGAACAACGTGACGCGCACCGTGTAATAATGCGGACAAGCTCCCCATGGGGAAGTACTCGTACACGAGAAGCTTCTCATCCCGACTCAAATAGTAACCCTTCAATGGCGCTAAATTCGCGTGATCCATCCTCCCGACTAATTCCATCCTCGCCCTAAACTCCTCTTCCCCGACACAAACCTCTCTCAACCTCTTCACCACAACGACGATCCCCATATCCAACGAGGCCTTATAGCTCATCCCGTACGTCCCCTTCCCCAAAACCTCGGCCGAGGCCCCCAACAAATCCTCCAAATCGAAGCCCCCCCTCGTCTCCCCGAAGAAAACCAACTCCTTCTTACCACTACCACTCACACTGTCTCCGGCCACCACTAATCTGTTGCTTGGAAAACCACTACTACTAGTCTCGGCTAACTCGTGTCCGGACCCTTTCTCCTTATTGGGCCGGTTGGGCTCATTTATCGGGCTCACTCCATTTCTTGAAACCCTTCTTCTTCTTCGACATAATCCTAACAATACAATGAATAGAAACCCTAGCGTCGAAGCTACGATGATCGCAATAATCACTCCTTTCGATAGCCTTTTGTCATCCCTACAAGAATCCAAAGGATTTCCGCAAAGGTGATTCCCGATGAACGAGCTCTTGGGCTTTCCGGAGAGCCTTAGAGGGATTTTGCCCGATAGATTGTTGTACGAAACATTAAACTTGTCTAATTTAGGAATTTTGAGATTTGGAAGCGACCCTGAAAAACGGTTGTTGTCCAAGTAGAGCATCTTCAATCGAGTCAAATTGTTGAATGCCGGAGAAAGGTCGCCGGAGAGATGGTTGTCGGCCAAATTCAAACGAACGATCGACGTGTGAGAAAATAGGGAATCGGGAACTTCTCCGGTAAAGAAATTGCCTTGCAAATAAACATTCCGGAAAGACGCGGCCGACGAAAAGAGGTCGGCCGGCAAGGGGCCGGAGAGGGCGTTGGACCGGAGGCTGAGGGTACGAAGAGTTGCGATATTTGATATAGTGTGTGGTGGAATATGGCCGGAGAGAGATTTTCCGGGGAGGCGGAGCTCAATGACGGAGGAATTTTCCGGCGAACATTTTACGCCAGGCCAAGAGCACGGAGACGTGCCGGATGCCCAAGTGAGAGTGCGGCCGTCCACCGCTGATCGGAAAGCTAGAAGGGCCGCCTCGTCGGAGATAATGTCCGGCGTAGCGGAGGGGAAAAGGCCGATAATAAGAACGGCGGCGGCGGCGGTGAAGAAGAAGAAGAAACTGAACTCAGCCATTATATTTGTGAAGGTCGGTTTGCTTCCGGCATGTCGAAAAGCTTTCACTATGTGTAAATGTGTGTGTGTATATATAGTGTGTATGTATATATTGGGGTTGAATCTTTATGGATATATTAGGAGGGAGAGTATTTGTAATAAGAACTTTTGGCAGGAAACAGACAATGTTGTTGTGCGACATGGCCCCGACTTTATAATTATTTCGTTGTGATTATTTTACTAAGTTATTTATCAATTTATATTTTATTACAATACTTCTACATATATATACATACAAAAATGTCCCTTTACATTAATAAAAACAATATTTATGATTAGAAAATATATATATATATATATTTTAGCAATTAAATTTTTGAGTTGAAAATTGGATTAAAAATAATTTATTTAATTAATATTTGATTTATAATATAATATATATAATTAAAAAAAAATTAAACTCTATAATTTTGTAAATAATAAAATTTTATATAATACAAATAAATAAAAAAAAATATAAATATTACTCCCTTATATGGGCGGGCGGAGGGAGTAATATTTAAAAAAAAATCGAGTTCAAACTTTAACAAGTCAAAATTCCGAGTAGCTCAATTCGCATCAGCTGTAATTAGGCTTATAGGTTTAGTTTTAGCTATGGTCCCTATCATATTCTTAATTTGGGTTTATTAAGGTTTAGTTTAGCTATGTTCTCTATCATCATCGCCAAGATTCTTTATTTCAGAAATGAACTTCTGCAAAAAACTCAATTTTTCAAAATGAACAAGAAGATAATATACCGTTTCGACCAAGGTTTCGCCGTGTAGCCTCGATCTACACGGCGTTATTGTCTCTGCTTCCGGAGGAATTCTTTCATCTGCGCCAAAATTTCTGCTTTCACGACAATGCGCATTTTCTTCGAGTTTTCCCATAACAGACCTCCGTATTCACGCGCAAAGTCACAAGCAGCCTCAAACACGTCCTGGAAGACGGAGGAAACAATGATCTAGTACAGGAGTAGAAAACAAAGAATGTCGACATAGTGAATAGATAGCTTAGCTTAGGACATACCCTCGATGGAAATTCATCGTACAGATGTGCAGGCGTCATCTCGATTCTGTTCAGATCAGCTTCCCACAACCTAATCTGGTTTGACACAAAGATGAGGTGAATATTAGCCACTCTTTGAATTGTATCTATCGATTATTGGCATTGAGCTAACACCTGATCCGTAACGTTTTCTGGGACACATGGCATTTTTTCGGCAACTCGAGGATGAGCATTCTGCTGAAGAAAAGATACTATCTGCATTCAACATGTCAGGGAATAGTAAATGAGGATTTATGGAAAAATCGAAAACAAATTCTGGTGTGTTGAAATTGATCTATAGCCCAAAATTTCAGTAAGAAAAGCGATCGTATACCAAGGAATAAAATAAAATTTGCTGGTGCTTACCTGCTCGGATGTAATGCCGTTTTGAAATGCTTTGTACAAGCTTTCTTTCGTAATTGCTCCAACGATGAGGTTAGGAAGCTGGTACTCAATCCTGTAATTTCAGCTTACAATGTTCTTCAGAAAGGGAAGATCAAAAGGAAAATATTTCTCGAAAGAAAGAGCAAACTCCACCAAGAAAAATAGTAAAATATAGAAGTCTATATATGTTGATGAGTACATTAATTTTCTTCTTCCAAGCAAACATTTCATTCGAATAACTTGGCAAATGAAATCCAAATAAACTAAAGCAATCTCCGAAAGAAGAGCAAAAAGTACAATTGGTCTTTCCTAGTTTCCCTTCACTTTCTTGGATTTGTACATATTCAAAATTATACCCGTCGTCACATTCAAAGTTAAGCTACTGGTTATCCTTCAAAGCGCAAATGCTTTGCCGAGTATGGGACAAAAAGCAAGATCATTCATCATTACTTTTTGAAGAAAGTACGGTATACCTTGAGAAGAGACGTAAAATCTCACAATGCAATTTAGATGTGGAATATGCATACATCCGAAAGTTTGTTTCCACAACAACAAATCCCTGATGCAGCAGAGATCCACTAACATAAGGATAGAAAACATGATGAAAGAAAAGCATCAACTTATAACATTTATTGCCAAGAGAGAACCAACGAACAAGATAAGAACAAATTCGAAGTAAAAACCTGTTTTCTTGATGACGTATCTGCCAAGCTAATGGAGAGATTGGTAGCTAATTTAGTTGGAATAAACCAACTCTCTTTCCTGCCCTGTATAAGTAAAATCATTTCTGTTAACCACAAGATGAAGGCCGAGAATCATCAGACGTAATGATAAGCAGCAACCTGTTGGAGTTTGACCAACCCCAAATCAGCCAGGTCCTTTATTATGTTCTTCTGTATATCGGACAAGGTGTTTAAGCTATATGCCTACAAAAGGATAATTGGTTAGTTGAAACTTGAAAGTCTGAAATTCAAGCAAGCTTTATCCGTGCAACTTCTGGTATGATCAATATCAAACCTGGCCGGTAACATGAAAACTGAGTTCCAGTAGAAACGATATCAGATCAGCAGTATCCACACCATGATCCTACAACAATAGGTGCAGGTTTGAAGATAATAAACATTAAAATTCTAAAAAAAAAAAAATTGGATTACATTGAATGGTTCTACCAATCCACATGCAGGAAGTCTCATTGATTGCCAAAAAAAATTGAAAAAAACAAAAGAAGGTAACACCAAAGATTCTCTGTAGGGCATCTATAGGATTTTATTAGATCGTTGGAGGAAATAGAAATGGTATTCTAAATGTACATGACATCATTTTTCACAAATGGATGATGACGGGGTTTTGATCACGGGCCTCCCTCTCTGATACTATATAATGATCACTTTGTATAAAAGCTTAAACTGCTAGTTAAATATTTCAAGTAGACAATTTTGAAAGAAAGAGGAAAAGGGTCTGAATGATATACCTCACAGTTGGTTATATATTCTCTGACTATGTACCAAAGTTGTGCATTTGTGTCCATCAGCTGTTACAACATTCGTCAGTACTCAATTTCACCCAGAAATTGACAAGTAGGGTGGGAAACTCATACCAGAAACTGGAAGCCACTCTCTGTCAATTTTAGAGAGTCCCTGTCGTCTCTGAAAGGTAATGTGAATGCATTACACCATGGTTCAACATAATACCAATTCATAAGAACAATGTGAGTTTTGGGTGCAGAAATCACTTTTGATTCAAGAGACCACGCTGAAATATTTTCATCATGGAAGAGCTTATGTTTGTTGACCTTTCCGCTTCGGCAGAATTAATGAGGTGCAGAAGAAACATCTGATTTTCCATACATTACAATTTATAAAAGGTGAAAAATAAAGCAAATACAAGCATACTCCACAATAACTAAATATGCATGATAGACATTTTTGTGTTAAGATCTATATTCCCCTGAAAGAGATTCAGATAATTTTTCTAATAGAAAATTTTAAAATACAAGAAGTGAGAAGGATATATCTTGTTGGTTACAATTTAGCAAAATTGTGGGGCAAATCGCTAGACTAGTTCATGTGACAAGAGGCAACTTTTTATGCAAAAGAGAACTAATTTCATACCTCCCATTGTTGAGCAGCATAGGCATCCAAATCATCCAAGCTAGGAAGCCTTGCTGTGACATTAGAAGGCATTGGTTCTCTTGGTAAAACTCCACTGTGGATTCCAATGTTATACCAACATGCATTATTTTTCTATAAAACGAGGCGTGCAGTTTGTATAAGCCAAAAAAAATGAGTATGGGATAGTTAACCTTACCCGTGCACTATGTGTCTCTGGAGATTTTGCTGAAAGGTTGGATTAAATAGATATGTAGCTTCCTTCTTCCTGCCAAAGCAAGACATAAGTAAAATAGATATATATTTCAAATCAGTTGTTAGCGAATCCTTAAATAACAGCAAAAACCCCTGCACCATGAAAACAAGTAGCAGATGTCGCTAGAAGCTTGATCTGGCAATGGAAACCATCGAGCCTGTATTAAGAAAATTGAAATTAAAAATGGCAATAGGGTTCGTACCGTTCAACAGTTTCAGTCAGGATTCTCAGCTGAATCAATCTATCTATTGCTACTTTGTGCTTTGAGACACCATCTGAAAGAACCCATTCTTCCAACCACTTTGCTGTCACTGGACCATCAATGTATAATAGCTGTAGCACATATTTCTTTGCCAATGGAGGCAAAGATCTGAAAATTCAGAGAAAGATAAATAAATAAAATTAACAAGATAAATATAACATCAAATTCCAGATATTCTTTTGTCTCTGCTACAAGAATTTGTCTGAGTTACAGTCACATAACATTAATGTTCTATGTAGTAGTTTTGATAATATATATATATATATATATGTGTGTGTGTATCGGTGGCATTTCTACCATCATATGAATAAGCTGAAGCTAAAGCCATTCATTATCATCATCTAGCCAATCATAAAACATGCCCCTTAACCAAGGTAATTCCAAATTGTTATAGATATTCACAAACTTTAAATGGGATGGACATATGGACACAAAGATGACATAACTTTCAATTAAATCATTCAGAATCCCTCTTGCTAAGAGCAACCAAAGAATTAGTAGATATGTTATGACCAAAACAGGAATGTGCTAGGGTCATGAATTATATAAGGCCATGTCCATTGTGTAACTGAAGAGATAACATAAAATTTCAGCTGATTAAAACAAAAGGGAGAACTGCAAAATCATATTCGAATTCAATTCAATCTAAACATAGAGAGAGGCGATTCTCCTAGTTAATCAAACAACATCAATGAAAGATCTTTCAAAAAAGAACACATTTTCCCAATAGATTCAAAACAAGAAAAACAAACCTATTAGATGAAAATAACTTAATGTCCAAGAATCAAGATCATGATACGCCATAATTTCGTACAAATCACAGAATCTTGTTCACAGAGAACAGCACAATCAGCTGGTGTAAAATAGTGAGTGCCAAGCAATCACTTTACTATATATCAAAAATTATTTCAGTAATTACCGAAGATCCACAAAAGCAAAAAGGTCGACAACTATTCAAACAGAAACTAATCGAAGTAGCACAACCTGAGTATAGCCTCGCAGATGAAAGAATTATCGTAGAGCTTGTCGAGCTTCACTGCTGGCAATGATGCCACCATGTCCATAAAGTTTTTCGCCACAATCCTCACCTGCGGCATCTTTACCTTCCCGAGAAATTTTAACTCCCAGAAATATGAGAACTTTACTAGCTAGATACAATTACCAAATCGTTCCATCCCCAATTATGACTCCTCAAAGCTGAAATGAGTATCGGCTCAACAAGTAAGGAGTGGTAGTTGCTGAAATCTAGCTACAAACAGTATCAGGAGCTCCGCCATGGCCGGATAAAGGCAGTAACAATGCTAGGTTATTTCCCTTGAGAGCCTAGGGCAGTGAAGTTCCTGCTAGTTAACCGAACCAAGGCATCTCATTTCGAGTCTTGCTCCTTTCTGCTGAAACTAAAGCACTCGCCGGAATCTCCGCCGATATTCCCTTCTCCGATAACGCCGCCGCTGCCGTCCGCCAATCGGCACCCCGTCCCACTGTCGTCGGCTTTGATCTCCATTTTATGATCTATTTATTAATTATATAAATATCATTGTTGTTATTATTATTATTATTATTCTCAATTGGGCCTATTTGGGTTTTGACTAATAAGGCATGGCCCAATTAATTCGGGCCGATAAGATAGGCCCTTTTAGTTATTTTATAAATATTTTCTTTATTATAATTGGATTATACATAATTTAGTGGACAAGAAACCTGACATAATTTTGAGAAAAAGAAAGAGCGTTATTTTAATAACAAGTTTATTAAAGTTTATTTTTTTTATAGATTTAATAATATATATTTTTGGATTAAGTTAGAATGGGTGTAATATATATACGTGTAAAATACATGATAATGATATATATAATAAAAATAATAAAACCTTTCCATTAAATAAATACATAGCATAGCATGCTTGTTTGATTCGCCTTGCCTGTGGGCCTAGTTTGCAAAAATATTAGATTAATATTCGGCTCAGTGGACATTTTCGGATTTACTCATTTTAGATTTACCTGATTCCAAAAACATATTTTTTCTAATAAAAAATATAACTATTTCTTTCTTATCAAATATCATATCAACCTACTACTACAAATACAATCAACCACATTATATTCACTTACATTATAAACATCATCAAGGTTTTATAGACCAAGATCCGATGCTGAAATCTAATTTTTAGAACCGAGCTGAAATTACTTTCAACCGTTGGATCAAGGTTTGGATCTCATGCAACTTCCAGAAAATGTTGAATTAGCAACATGGATCCTCATCAAAACAAATGTAAAACATTTATTTGTAACAACCCGAACGTGCATATATTCATTCACTACAACAGAAGAAAGCAAGAAATTCATGTATCTTCAACATCAATATACGATGAAATATGCGCAAGCTAGAACTCGGGTACAGCTCGAGATATACCTTGAGTGTAATCTCATCCAACTAGCTTCACGCCCCTACAAAGGGCTGATTATTAATGTACGCCGATTTCAATAAACTAAAGCTACCGAATCAAGTTTGCATCTTTTTCTTCTAAGCAAAAGCCAAGTGAAGTTCTCAGCAATCATCAGATCAACCCCTACAACAAGGAACAAATATTGAAATAACAAGATAAATCTACACACACACATGCATTTATAACTATATATATATATATATAGCAGGCCGGTTAAAGACATCGACAACATCAAGATATTGTAACAAAATAAATAACACATACCAGGAACCAAAACACGAGAGCTATGGCATATTGTAAGTTCCTTTTCTGATTTTAAGTTCTTGCTCTAGTTCTAATAAAGTAGACTTAAGTGTTTTTGTTTTGATTTCAAACAAAAAACACCACTATTCAACTCATACTATTTTCAATAAAAATACACTATTTCCTTTCGCAGAACATCACATATATATACTTTTTAACTAAGAACTCAAATCTGACACTTTATTTTAAATCAATTTCAAACAACAACCAAATATATATATATCAAATCAATCTCAAATCAACACTATGGTTGGATAATCTTTAATGGGTGAAGATTTGTGTCTGAAATCTTAGTAAGAATTTTAAAATAATTATCACATTACCTCAACATAAGGAGGCGGCTACTTGGCTACATCATAAAATTCAGCATAGTGCTAATAAGCACATACAACACACAATATAAAGATTAAAGACAAGTACCATATGAATTTTGTTAACATAATACAAATACAACACATGAATTAATAGCACACAATACAAAAACAAACAGACAACACATGAATTATATTAATATAATATAAATACAACATATCAACCCACAACATATTACATAGTCCTATATAGCCCATGGTACAATTGATTTTCAACACAATAGTATACTAATACAACACACTTATATTATTTAACACAATATATGCTGTATTAAATAAAAATATGTGTTGTTTGTTTGTTTTATAGATGCTGATTTGCCCGGTCAGCACCATAACCATCCCGTCAACATAAAGACTAGTTTTTCATGAAATACAGATTACACTTGTAAGTGTTAAAAAGTAGAACCGTAGAGAAGTGAAAACGTGGCTCCATAATTGGAGCCATATTTCACATCTTCATGGGATCAGAAGTACCAAAATCCCAAAATGTGACCATGTCTACAACTAGTGCCAAAAGCCAAATGTAGATACACATGGAAAATATCTAACCATGTCAGGATCATCAAGATTTACCAAATAACCAACACCCAAAGCAAACATACCATGAAACCATCAGAAAATAATGACTATAGGCAGGCTAGAAGCTGTTTTCTGGGCAGCTCAACAAGATCAGTTCTTCAATATGAACACCAATTATTCAATTCCAATCATCCAATTTCACAAGCAAAGAATCACTAATCTTAGCAGATCAAATTACCAACAGAATAAGCTATCATGAAAAACACACTGATATAAATCTATTCCGCCATGAAAAGCTAAACCATAAAGAACAGCAACAAAAATTGCTAGGCAAGCATTCGTGTAACTGACATCGAACATAAGCAGTAATCGCCATACGCGAAAGAGTAAAACGGAAAATAAATCCGACTAGTTACGACAACATAGACTCAAATTTCATCATACACTAAAAGGTAACAGAAATACGAACAACAAAAGGAGTAGAGCGTAGGTCACTTCACCCCCAAACCAACGCAATCCTCCTCCAAATCAATCCTGAGCCTTCAATTTCTCGATCCTCTTGTTCAATTGATCGATCCGGACAACGAGACCGGTGACGGAGTAGAGAAGCCAGTAGAAAATCAACGCGGACGCGATCAGGAGCGCGTTGCGCTGAGACTTCATTATCGATTTCTGGTGACGCAGATGCTCCGACGGGGAACACGAATCGGACTCACAAGAAGGCCGAGTCTCGTATTTCCAGTAGATATCCATTAACAGGAAGAGGCAGAAAGGTACCACCGACAGGAACGGCTTGAGAAGGCTCCGAGTGACGGTGATTAGGCCCTTCCTGAGAGCATCCAGGCCAGGAACCGTCAGGAGAAGGAGCATGATCGCCTCCGCTCCGGCGGCGTACCCGAGAACAACCCACTCCAAGGCCATCGGAAATTTGATCGGAGATTGAGAGAAAAATGCGATCGGAGATTGCTATGAAAATTGGGGTCGGTGGGAACGATATGCAATCGGTGGGTAGGTGTGGATTAAGCCTTAAGAAAAGAATATTTACGTGGGCCTATTGGGCTTTTATAGAATAATTGTATTGGGCCTACGTAATGGCCCATTTAATGTTCTAGAAACTTCCCAACAAAACGGCCCAATAAAAATAAAACAGCACATTAGAAAGGTTAGGCCCAAATGAGTTCGACCTTCGTCTTCCTCCTCGTCGGCCGGTTTCGTCACCGACGGCGAAAATGTGTGTGAACATTGTAAGTTCGAATTCGCGGTACTATTATGGTTAATTAGAGCTGCAAGTGTGAAAATATTTCGAGTATTTGCAGAAATTTTAATGTGTTTGATGTTTTGTTATTGTTCGCCGTTTTTTGTTTTTTTTAAACGTTTCTGCGAGTTTCTGTGTAAATTGTTTAAGATTGGCCTGCTTGCACGATTCATACTCGAAATAGTGATTAAGCTGATTTGCGTATCATGAATTAATCGCTCGTTGAGATTTGTTGTGAATTGGCCGAATTCACTGACGTATTTTAGATATTTGACGCTTTCATGATTTTTATGCTGTCAGTGTATATGTTCAGGTAATGGAATTTCATTTTGTAGGTATTTTGAAGGTGATCTATCTGTAGTGCAATTTGAAAGATGAATATAAGAAGTAATGTGTAATTTGATCACTCTATCATCTGTTATATGCAGTTTCAAGTTTCAAATATAATGCAATATGCTGCCACTTCTGGAGATACTACCTCTGAACATGTCTTTCATCTTTTGGATGTGTGATATACAATCTCAAACTAAAAATTAGCTCTTGAGTCTTGAGTGACAGAGAGATTGAGAGGAATGGATAGAGGAAAATTGGTTGTGGAGAGGGTACAGGGGAAGTCAACTCTAACCCGATGTTTCTCAAAGTATCCCTTTAAATTCATCAACCCCAACAAGGTGCACATTGAAGCTTCATCTTACCATCTTGATTATTTCGCGTGGAAATCATAAATTCAACGTGGTTTTAAAATGATCATTGTCAGGTTGGTGGTGATGCTGTGTGGGTTTACACCATCACCTATGGTGGAGGCATTGTCTCTGTACGTGCACTTTTTTTTTGGATCTCTTTGTTGTCAGGACTCAGATTGATTTTCTGTGTAATTACTGGTTTTTATGTTGCATTTGGTTAGGGTGACTCCATTGATTATGATATTGAGGTGGGGGATGATTGTATGGCAGTGTTGACCACCCAATCTTCTACCAAGGTTCTTCCACCATTTGTTCTCATGTTTTTTGGTTGTTTATTTATGTTTCAAATTGTGTTTTTCGTACATTGCAAGCAGATACTGAGATGTTTTAGTGAATTCCTGCAGGTTTATAAATCTATAGGATCAAAATGTTCTAAGCAAAGTTTGGAGGTAATTAGGTCCTATTCAATTGGCTGTCCCTCCCAACATTTTTGTTCATATAACACTACAGCGTATGAATGTGCAAAGTCTTTAATTATCATAAAATTGTCTGTTTCAGCTTAATAAAGGTCTGTCCACTCACTTTCTTTTGCCCTTGTAATTAGTTGTTTGAGTTCTAGATTTTGCAGTTTCAGCTTCTTCAGGAATTCTACATGTTTTTTTGGTACTATATTTCAATCAGATAATGGTAGCTACACTATGTTGTGCATTAGGCGATTGTTGGAAGCGGTGCACTCTTGGCTCTTATTCCAGATCCGGTAACTTGTTTTTCCACCGCAAAGTATTCCCAAATGCAAGTTTTCAAACTAAAACCTCAATCAAGTTTGCTTGTTGTTGATTGGATAACAAGTGGTCGTTATGAGACGGGAGAAAAATGGGCTTTTTCTCACTATAAGAGCACCAACTGCATTATTTTACAAGGCAATGAGCCTTTATTTCTTGACACGGTAAACTTCGTAGTACAAACTATTAGTGTACTTATTTTTGATGAATTTTACTTGTAGAAGGCATTTGGTACAACATGCAAGCAGTTGGATGGGTATCTATGCAGCTGCCCAATAAATTTACCCCAATTCTATTATGAATCTGCTTATGTGCATTAATAGAATATTACATGGTTAGCAAATAGCAATTATAAGAAAATTTATTTTTGATTATTTACTTATAGTTATTAGGTGGTTAGAAGCGAAGTAGGAATTTACAAACTTTTTTCTTTATAGTAGAAGCACACTATGTCTGAATTCAGTTGAAGACTGCAATCGTATACTTGGGTCATGTTGGTATGACCCATAAACATTTAAACTTAATGATTCATTATTTTGTTTAGCCCGTTGGACGATGACAATGTATAATAACTTATTCATTAAATGGGACTTAATGTGTTAGGTAAAATGAATCCGCCATCAAGTTATAAGCTTTTGACACTTGGATCATATTTACTTTTATGAATTACCTTTAATCCATGAAAGCAAACATACCCTTATTGTCGAAAAGAATCTACACTGTTATATATAGTTATATCTTATCTATATGGAAAAATTACCCAAAAGCTTTTCAAATACACAATTTAACAATTCATCAGGATTCTGCCTTATCTTGTTTCTCGAATTGTTTTAATTTTGAATCAGGTGTTGTTAGAGAAGGGAAGTTGTGGCTTGGATCAGCTGCAGCACTACCATGCAATAGCCATGATAATTATTTTGGGGTAGGAGCAAATATATTTTCGATTTCCTCATCCTCATCTCTATGCAAGCACAGGAGATTGAATTGATTCTACCAATTTTGCATTGGTTTCAGGCCTAAATTGAAGCTTATTCAGGATCAAATCCAGAAAGATGTCAAGAAATTAATGTCTCAGCCTTTATTTAGCAAAGGTTCTTCGAAAGAAGCCAAACCCAGTTTTCTTGCTTCTTGCAGTACCTTTGGCCAAAAGGTACATTTTCTAGTCTGCCTAATTAAATTCCTTGGAAGCATCTAGCGCACTACTTGAATAATTGGATTCTTCGTATCTATTACTTTCTTGATTATAAAAGTGTGTCCCTACATGATTTTAGTTTTTTCTAGTCGAACCACCATGCAACAAACTTTACCATTGAGAACGCAATGATTTTGTCATCTTTTTAGGCTACGATTAGACTGAGAGTTTCGGAGTTTTAAAAAACAAAATTGAGAATAGTAAAGAATTAATAGTTAATGTGATGTTTTGAGAGAGAAAAAATATATTTGACGAGATGTATTTTTTTAAAATTAGTATACATAAATAGTATCAAAAGTTCCAAATCTGCCGATGTAAATAGAGCCTTAATCTTCCCAAAAGAACCCAAAGTTACCAATACGAGGACAAAAGAAGTCATTGAACTACTTTATAGACTTCTTTCATTTTTTTTTTCATTCTCGACTTTGAATATTGTTTCGGTTGTCTTAACATGTTCAGGGGCAAGGCGTCGTTGTTAGGGTTGCATCCACAACCACTGAATCGATCTACAACTTCTTGCAGCAACAATTGGCCAGTATGGAAGTATTGCTCGGCGCTCCTCCCTATCAATAGATAAAGACCGTAAGGGAAATTCATTTAAAATTCAGGTACCTTTCAATTTCGAATACGCTTTTAAGTATCAGTCTCGCATATTTTTAAAATTATTATAGTATGATTAGGCTCGAATAGATTACTAACACTCGATTTGAATTCAACTCTTAGCTTATCTTTACTACAATATGTCACATCAACTTTCGACTAAAAAGAACTTTCTTCGAGTTGTAAGGTCTATCGAACAACTAATCATGCATGGCCTAGCTATCGAGCAAAGTTTGGAGTGTAATAGTCTGCAAATTACGCCTGCGGAAGAAGCCACCCCAAATAAGTAATACTTAGGTAACAACCTTGAATTAATTTTTTTTTTATATATATGCTACATAATACATTTGCATGGTAGAGATTAATTTAAATTTTTTTAAATATTTTTTTGTCACAATGAGAATAATATATTATTTATTAAAAAGAAAATTATGTGACTTTATAAAAGCATGCATGGGAAAGAAAAGTTGCATGGCTTCACTTTCCACGTATGTGAAGTCTTCATGTTTGTGTGTAGTTTATGTAAAAGTAGAAAAGTTGATATATAATGGTCAGAATGTTCATTTTGATTCTTTTAAATGTATCTTATTAGAAACTAAAATAAAATAAGATAAAATAAAATGATTTCACTTTAATGATCAGATTCAAATAATAATAATAATAATATTAAATAGATTAATTAATAGTTTAAATGCTTTTTATTGGATTTGAATGCACCGACAACTGAAAAAGGGAAGATTCCAACTTTTAATGTAGTAGCACCAATAATGTCACATTTATTACAATTTATTATGAATTCGATTATTTTTTTCAATTTTTTATTGTTATACTGCATTAATTATTTATAAAAAAATATGTTATTTAATATTACATAATAATATAACATACAAACCAAAAATTAAAATAAAACAGTACAATGAAACCAAAAAAGAAAAAAAAAAATAGTACTATTGAGTTGAGCAACTTTTAAAAAACATTCATTTTTTTTTTTTTTTAACAATTCACAACCGTTATTTGTCGAGTGCTTATTAGGTAGACATCTGAATGTAATCTTTGAATTAAGTTTGAGCACAAGCTCTACTTATATAAAATAAATTGAGGGTGTGTTTCTTATAATTTTTTTATATAATTTTGGATTTTTTTTTATTTTTAAATTATATTTTTATTTTTACAAAAGATTATATCAGATATTATTTAAATAAGAAACTCAAAGTTCCAATGTAATTTATTGAATGGTTATAGAGTGAATAATAGAAATTTATTGAATTGTACAAAAATTATTAAACTACCCAAACCAGACTTGAATAACTGTTTAATATTTTATAGGTCTAAGATGACATGAGCCAATTACTATTATTGTAGATATGCATAATTTAAGTAAAATATAATAAGTAAAGTAATTAAAAAATATATTAATAAAAATAATTATTATATAATAAAAGTAATTATAAATTAAGATTAAAATAATTAAATAGTTTAGTTAAAATTTAAAAATTTTAAATTTTAAATTTTAAAATATAATTAAAGTGTATAATTAATTTTCTAAAAAAAAATGACAAATTATATGAGACGGACAAAAATAAAATATAGAGATAACAAATTATAAAAAGTGACAAGATCTATATGACCGTGAGGTCGTTGGTTCAAACCCTCGACGTCTCAGGTCACCTGCCACACATGGTTTGCCTAGTGTGACTTTCTCGTCGGTCACCTGCTACACATGGTTCGTCTAGTGTGACTTTTCCGTCGGGCATAGTTTACAGGGTATTAGGTTCGGCCGGGGGTTTACCCAATGTGTACTTTTGGGTAGCGGCTGCGGATTCCACGTCATAAAAAATAAATAAAAGGGCAATAATATTTTTTGCAACTTTGTGGAAGTGTAGAAGAAAATGCTATGGAATCTCCAAAGGTTCCTTTTTGCCTTTTTTTTTTTTTTTTTTTTTTTTCTTTTAAGTATATTAATTCTAATGACAATTTAAGAATCTTCAGCTTTGTTTAGATAAAAAGATTTGCAAGTGTTGTAATATTTTAATTAAATAAAAATAAAATATTGAATATGATATAGTATTTTTTATTTTTATTTTTAAAAAAGAAATACTTAATATTTAATGAATAACAACAAAAGTTTGAAAATGATATGTAAAGAGTTATTTCTTGTTTCAAAATGAAAAGCAGATACATTTGAATTCCACTACAACAAATACAATAATGTAAAGGCAAAATGATTGCCATAAATTTAATACAAGAAAAAAAAAGGAATATATATATATATATATCATTGGCTTCATCTCACAGCTATTTATTTCCCTGCAAAAATAAAATCATAAATCGATAAATATGAAAGGCAATAACAATATTTCCATTGTTTATTTATTCAATTTTGCAATTATAATTTCGTAACATTATAATTAAGCTTATATAACTAAATTATATTAACATAATAATAATAATAATAAAAATAAGGCTAGAGAGAGAGGTGTTACTATTACCATTTTTCGAAAATAATCGACTAAGGAAAGTGAGGAAGATGATGAGTAGAGCAACTCCAGCAAGTAATCCGATTATAAGTGCAAATGTCTTCTCACTCTCATTATGTGAAAATCCTGTCAATGATATTTTACATAACAAAATAAATTTGTAATATAATATATTATAAAAATATATGCCAAAGTAAAATTAAAATTAAAATTTGAATATTCGTAAATAGAGCCTTCATACATCAAATTATAAATAAATAAATAAATCATTGAAGGGTGACTTAGGATTTATTTATTTTTATTATTTTAATCTAAATAGGCATTATTTATTATGTACGATTTTTTTTGTGAATATATATATTTTATAAAATATCACGACTATAGGCTCAGAACTTTCTACACACACAAGAAGTTTTAAAAAATAGTAATAAAAAATTTAATATAAAGAATTTTTGGTTTTTTTTTTTTTCAAAATATACTATTTAGATTTATCATTTTCTTATATGATTTTTTTCTTATAAAATATTAAATATGTTTCTGAAATATATATATATATATTAATTTCGCAAAGATCGATTTGTATTAAGTTTGAAAATTTAGAAATAATAAATACTTAATGTTTAATGTAATATTAAAAAAAAAAAAAAACAAATTACATTTTTAAATAGATATTTGTAAATAAATAATGCAAAAAATTTCAAAAATAATTACACGTAAACAAAGTCCAGGTGGCGTACCGTGATTGGATCTGGCATATGCCTGGGCCCCACTGGTAGAGTACCTCGCATAACACTTCCCCAAAAACATATCCCCAAACACAGCGCCGCCGCACTCCGCCTTCAGCCGCCGTATCGCCTCCGCCACGCAGTCCTGGCACTGACCGGAACTCAAATCTCCGACGCACTGCGCCACCCCCTGAACATCCCCCGTCCCCCCGACCCTATACCCCCCGCCGGCGCCGGCCAACCCCGCCAGCACGGCGTCGCGCCGCCCCATCCCGGCGGCGTCGTACCCCTCCGACGGGCCGCACTTCTTCATCGCCACCGCCTTGTCCGCCGCCCCGACGAACGACGCATTGTCGTACTTGACGAAACAACCCTCCAGCTGTACCACGCCGCCGCACGCCGCCGGGCACTGCGGCGGAAGGCGGCTGACGGCCTCCGCCACGCAGGCGGCGCAGTCGGGCATCCCCAGGTCGCCGCGGCACTGGTAGACCCCGAAAACGACGTCGTTTGGGGCGGATCCTAATACGGTGAACTTATTGTAGGATGAGTACGTGGCAGAATTGACGAGGGAGGTTAGTAGAGAGTTGAGATTTGATTGGTAGGGAGATTCCGGTGCATACTTGGTCTGCGAACACCCGCCGTAGAGGAACGTGTCCACCGACCCCTCCGCCATAGCCAGTAAGAACAAGAAGAACATCAACGTGAAGACGATGCTCAGAGAAAAAGATGTGATAATATTACTTGACGACGATGATTCCGCCATTGATTTGATTTGGAGTTAATGTGTTAATGTTGTTAGTGATGACAATATATATATATATATATATATTGTGTATACATGCAGCATGTGTGTATCAGTGTATGCGTGTTGGGGCAGGGGCTAAGAATCTCATTTTTCTTTTCCTTTTTTTTTTTTTTTAATTAATATCATATCAAATTTTTATTATTTTTAAAAATCTCAAAATTTTTAGGTTTGAATTTTATTTTTATTTTTCTATATCCAACCAAAAAATTGCAATTTTAGATTTATTTGAGGTTTATTTGATTTTGATTTAAAACTACAGTATTGATTTTAATTTTGATTTAAATAATCTTTTCATACTCTCTCTAGTAGTCCCTAAAAATTACTTATATTTTTTTTGTAATTTACTAATTTTTGCATATGAAAAAAGTATCATATTTTATAAAAAAATAATATTTTATTGGGATAATATAGAAATTTTAATAAATAATACATGTATTTTAATGTTTTGGACGTTGAAAATTTTAAAATAAAAATGAGTAGGTTTGTTGTTTTGGTTTAAGAGCTTTTATTTTACATTTAATTTAAATAGTATTTAGATGATAGTACATTGTAAAATGAAATAAAAAGTATATGAATTAAAATATAATATAAAAATTTCAATAAAAAGCATAATATATAATCCAATATTAAATGAAAATGAAAATGAAGATAGCAGACAAAGAAAGCCTCTAAAAGTGTGTAATCATATATGCGTACATCCATATGTATATGTATGTATATATATTTTACATATTTATTTATTTATCTTGAAAGGTATATGTTAGATTAGGCAGAGAGATGAAAATCAGATAAGTCAGAAAATATATTAGATGAAAAAAAGAAAGGATTACGACATGTACTTGTATGTACTGTACTAAATCCACCCAAATTATTATCTTTTGCTACGGATCACTCTATCACTCCTACAAGAAATTATTAATTTTGTAACGAGGTTTTTTCGTTCCTAAATTTATTTTTTCCGTTACTAATAATATTAGAGACGAAATTAGAGATGAAATTACGTTAGCTACGTAAACTTTAGGAACAGAATTCCGTTACAAAGATACTATTTTTTTTTTTTTTTTTTAGTGTATCACCATTGTGTTTCGCTACAAAATATACACCTAGTTGAAAGTTAGAAAATAAATATAATATAATATATATTTTATTCAAAATATATTATTTAAAAAATTATATTTCAATAAAATAATTATCATTCGTAAATATTTTCTCAATATATATATATTATCATTTTCGTATATCTCATGATAAAAAATGTATAATTTTGACTTACACTTCTATTATATTTAATGTATTCTGGCTGTAATTTACATATGTAATTATTAATAAAAATACTTAACTTGGCTTCTGAGACATAGATCATCCTAATTGAACTGAGTTAACAAATCCCTGTGTTCTTATTCACTTTTCGTGATTTCCTAATTTTCGCAATAGGTACGAAGAAATTCTTGATGACATGAAGGAAGATTTGAGCTCATATTACTCATGGGTTGACAACAAGAATCACTACAATAAAATATCATTTTTATAACAAAATTTTTTTGTCTTTAAATCTATTTTTTTCGTTACTAATGATATTAAAGGCGGAATTAATGATGAAATTACGTTAGCTACGTTTCCGTTGTAAATATACTATTTTTTTGTAGTGAATTGAAATCTACAATATCGAACCTTTTGATATTCCTCAGTAGTTCATTGGCAAAGCGGTTTGCTACACACATATATAGCAATCCTCGATATAACTATGTAATTATATCGGGTTTTTATTGAAGTAAACAAGTATAAAATTGAGAGTATTTATAATTTATAGTGAAATTATACTTATCAGAAAATAAAAATTTTGTGATTGAAGGGATGAAATAAATACTTTGACGGAGAAAATATATAAATATACATATTTAAAAATAACTTAATGTAAATTATACAATTTTAAAAATAAAAAGGAAAACCTAATTAAGCATTGGCTAGGAAGAAACACATTTGGGAACCCTTATCCTAAAAAAAAAATGATTAAAAAAAAAATATAAAAGATAGAAAACTTTATACCTCCCTTCGTCCCCCAAACTTTCTCAATAAAGACTTAAGCAAAATCCCTAAGGCATTAACAGAATTTTGTCATTTGTGTCATCTTAATCCATACTTAAAAAGTGTTTAAGCTTCTTTGCCTATACATATATATATATGTAAGTATGTATGCAAGTTATTACACAGTCGAGTTAAGTCGAGTCGAGTTGATCAATAGCACCTTAAGATGGAGAACTATGGATACAGCCTAGGAAAGCATATTTCCGTGGTTAGCGCAGAATTCCGTGTCCCAAAGAATGTTCATCTAAGAATTGCAAAGAGGCATTCGGGTGCCACCGATGATTTTGTGGTCACCGATGAAAAGGGCAACATAGTTTTTGAGGTGGTCGGAAAGTTCTTTAGCTTACACAATCGCCATGTCCTCGTTGATGATCGAGGCACTTCTATTCTCACCTTCAAGAAGAAGGTACAGATATGGACATCGTTAAAATATATAAATACACACGGCAGAATTATATATAGATATATATTTTTGGTTTCGTGTATATATTTTAGATTATTTATTTTTATCCCTTGACTTTTTCGTGTTTCTATTTTTTTTTATTTTATTTTATTTTGCATAGAATTATATTACAAGCTAATGAATTATGCCTTCTTATATACAAAATAATAATTCGAAAAACAAAATTCTTCCCTACACATTTATAAAAATTAAATTATGTATTTTTATAGAGAATCGTAATAATTCATAATAATCTAATTGATTTATTATTATTATTATTATTATTATTATTATTATTATTATTATTATTATTATTATTTTTAAGTAAACAAAGCTTATAATATTTACTCACATTTTCTATAGAACTTGAGTGCCCATAAAAGATGGCAAGCATACAATGGAGATGGATCGAACAATCGCGATCTACTCTTTAGTGCAAGAACGTCGTCGCTTATCCAATTCAAGACAGAAGTGGACATTTTCTTGCCCACAAACAAGGAAGAGACATCGTGGGATTTTAAGGTTATCGGGAGCTGGTTGGAGAAGTCATGCACCATATATAACAAGGATTCGACACCAATTGCCAAGGCAAGAATTTCACTAATTTCGTTTCATCTTTAAACACTTAGTTATTTTGAATAGCAACAATCCATAACAAATACATATATATATATATATATACACATATGCGCGAATGTAATTGCAGATGCATAAGAAGCACACATTTGGATGTATATTCGACAAGGACACATTCGAAGTTGCTATTTATCCTAATGTGGATCGTGCCTTTATAGTCACCCTTGTGGTCATCATTCACGAGATGAACAAGGATTATTAGTTATATACATATATATATATATATATGTGCGCACGTGAGCGCTCCTAGGAGTCGTGTATGAAAGATCTAGAGTTTCGTCAATAAATTGTCCAAAAGAAGACATATCGGCTATATATATGTATATGTATGGAGGCCTATATATGATAGTTTCGTGTGTCTTCTTCGGGTCCTTGTATATCCAAAATATGTGGACAAAAATCGCTAAATAATAATAAGGCTTTGGAGCACATGATGATATAGAAATTTAATTCAGTACATGTTGAATTATATCTAACCTTTGTTAAATCAGAATAATTATGTCAATTTATGTATTTCTTACGAATTAATGGTGAAGATTAATTTCAGCAATGCTTAATTATAAATTTCAGGATTCTATTTCAACTGTAATAACAAATATTATCCGGATCACATGTTGAACTTAATATTTAGTATATTTACATGTCGTTCGAAAAATGTAAGCTATATTAATTTGTTTTTTTCATAAAAATCAGAACGAAAGCAAATCCAAAATATTAAAAAAAAAAAGGAAATAAAATCCGAAATAAAACATTCTCCAATACCATGTGATCGAGTTAGATTGGAAAAAATATATGGCGACACTGAAAGCCCTTATCTTCTTAATCACGATCCTAAATAAATTTTCAATTTCGCTATCCTTACAAAATAGCCAAAGAAAAGCTCTTGAAACTCACTTTAGAGATTAAAGGATCATTTCACCTTAAACAAAATACATCATTAATTATATATTATAGTATAATTTTTCAATCCAAGATCTTTAAAATTGTTAAATGATCATCCAATCTAAAAATTTAAGCCAATAGAAAAATATTATATAATCTTCAGCAATTTTCTAGATCTAATGACCTTAATCAAAATGAAGGATAGTAATGAGTTTCACAGAGTTTATACTTTCTCATTCATAATTAATATTTTTCTCGTCCCAAATCAATTGACACATTTTTTTTAGTTTGTCGACCTTCATTGACATATTTTTATGTTTTAGTAAATTATACTATTTTAAAATATATTTAACAAATATAAAGTAATTTAATTAACTCAATAACATATAATATTAATACATAGTAGAACTTACTCAATTTTTTTTATTTTTATCTCTCCTTAATAAATAAATATTTTTATCTATATTTAAATTTTTCTTTTTTAAAATAAGATTAATTTATATTAATCATAAAAATACTTATATTTTAACTTATTTGTATTATATAAAATTTATTTTCTATAAAATAATATTCATATTACATTTATTTTATTGAAATATAATTTTCAAAATATTGAAACAAATATTTTAAATTTTTTTAATCATAATTTCAAAACTGCTAACAACGTTACTTATATAAAAAAATATAATAAATAATATCAAATTCCACCACCTTAAAAATTGTGTCACTAATGAAACACTTGGATTCAAACGAGATGGAGAGAGTATATGGTTACTTTGGAACATAATCCACTTAATATTATATTTTAATGATAGTTGATAATATATATTTTTGTATAAGGCAACTATTTTATGTTTGTGTCTTATTTGATATAATGTTATATAATTGAAAACAATAAAAGTAAAACCTTTGAACATATGAGGAGAGTTATAATAATATCTTTTTAATATTCAATATATATAATATACACTACAATAAAATTGTATTTTTGTAACAATTTTTTTTTTGTCTTTATATCCATTTTTTTTTATTACTAATAACATTATCCCTAAAGTTCTCGTAGTTAGGGGTGAACAAAATATTCGAAATCCAAATATTCGATCCGAATAAAATCGAAATTTAAAATTTGGTTCGGACTTTTCTGATTTTCAGATTGGTTCGGATTGAAGATTTTATAAATTTTGAATTTTTGGATCGACTTGGATCAATATACTAAAAATTCGAACCAATCCGAAATACGAAGCATAATATTTAATATATTTTTATGGTTATATATTTAATATTTTAATAGAAATGGAAAGTTAAAAATGATTAATTATATTTTACTATACTTAATTTTTATTTGTTATATATATTTAATATTATAAAAGAATGATAAAATATTGAATAAAACTTAAAATTTAAAATAATAATAAAAAATTAAAAATTTGGATTATTTCAGATATTTCTATTTGGTTTGGATTTTCTAATTCAGATTTCGAAACCGAAAATCCGAATGTTCACTTCTACTTGTAGCTAATGCTACCCGTCCTTAATTTTTGTTACATGTTGACATATTCAAAATTGACAAACCTTTTGTTTCTACTTTTAGCATATGAACAAATATGCAGGATGTTGTTGCAGCTTTTAACACCATTCTGGGAAACCTGCCAACTGCAGAGTTGACCGAGTTACAGGTTTTGGATGCATCTTGCATGTCCTACACTCGATGAAATAGAACAAACGAATATGCATTGGACAAAGGAAGTGCAGGTGAAGCTGTATGTATTATCCTCTCATACCGGATGACATTAATTGCCTTGATACACTGCCCCAAAAGTTAACACACAGTCAACTTTGTCTTCTAGTGTGCAGGATTTGTATTTTGTATGGATGGTTATTTGTTTTCGTGGATGAGCAACCAAAACTTAGAGAGTAAGTATTCTCTCCCCCTGTTAGAGTGTTGAGAGAGCTCATCCATGGAGGATTGAAGACGAAAAGAAGAATTCTTGGAGTCGAAGCCAAAGAAGATATTCATCCGGTAAACAACCTTATTCTTAGCTTGGTCACTGGCCTGCTGGAGTTGTTGCGGTAGAGTAACAACCAGTCCATGAGAGTTTGTAAAACTAAATGGAGCTTGGGTAGAAGATAAGTTGGGTAGTTCGGTTTGGTGTCTTATATGGTATAAACCAAGTGTTTGGTTTAGTTAAGATTCCTGAATTGGAATCCCCAGATGTAGGTTGGAAAACCAAATTGGATAAACAAACTTGGTGTGTTGTTTTTCTTTCTGCACTTATTCAGCCATCGATTTGTGCATAAACACGCATCTCTGTTATAACCGCGAGACAACTACGTTGTAAAACTGTGATTACGTCGAATGTTTTACAATTCAACTGTGCAAGATACTCGGAGCCGTTGACCTCTTACGCGCCCCTCTCCGCGACTTCCAACATTACAAATATGTTATTTATTTATTTTGTATGGATAGTTCAACACTTCAATTTTATGATTTAACATAAATGATAGTATATGATTATATAAATTCAATAATACGGTTTCAAGATAAAATTCAAACTCGATGATGACACAAGAAGACTCGTGACAACATTTCCAAGAAAAGAAAAGTGAAGAGGCAAACTTTGTCCTTGCCTTGGTTGTCATTATCGGAATTGCAAGCCTTTCTCAATTTTGTATTGTGTTCAATTTATATTTTTAAATAAATGTGTTTTTAACTTTAGTACAAATAAATATGTCGATAATAAAAAATAATATTTTATGTTAAATTGTTGATTTTTATAAATGAATAGAGTAAATATATTTACATATATATTGTATTAATATGTATATATTGTATTTTTTTTTATATATATAATATTACCCAAAAATAGGTTGGATGAATGTTATCATTGTTTTGAGAGATTAGTAACATAAGATTTTGTGAATTATCCCTCGTTATTTATTAAAACAAAAATTTGATGTGTTTATATATAATTGATTTATATAAAGGGTAAGTACGACTCGTCGTATTGAGTTTAAGATTTACCCGGAGCGCACTTAAAGAACAACTACGGAAGATTCTCATGTTATATTTATAAAAGAAAAAATATATACTTTTTTGTCATATACTCCATCGGTTTTTCAGGAAGACCACCGTTTACTTTTTGCAAGTAGATTTTTTAATATTAGTATTATATTAGTTTGTAGTAAAAAAAAACAAAAATGCCCCTGTTAGTATGGTGTGTTATAAAAGTGATGACATTTGTGTAATATGTTGTAAATTGTAAAAGTATTTATTATATTAGGTAACAATCACTAAATTAGAAAATGATACCCAAGACGGATAAAAATAGAAAATGGTATCCCTTTTATAAGACAGAGGGAGTATTACTTTTGTTGTTAACATAGTTCATATACTTTCTATATTATAAGTATATTACTTGTGTTTAATTAGATAAAAAATTCATAATTCACAATTATTTTAGCCAACATAATAAACAACATACTATATATATATATATATATATATATAGTATTATTAGCATAAAAGCCTAAAAGGGCACCGCTTGAAGCTGTGCTGCATTCATTTCTTGGAAAAACAGAAAATAAGAAAACTGCAGACAAATATGTCTCTTCTTACAGATCTCATCAATCTCCATCTCTCAGACACTTCAGAAAAAATCATTGCAGAATATGTTTGGTAATTTTTTTGATTTTATTTTTCCCTTCAATGGCTGATGTTCTAAATTCCTTTGTTTGCGTTGATGAATTATGATCACTCTGTGTGTGTGTGCGCGTGTTTTTTTTTTTTTTTTTTTTTTTTTCATGGGAATGGCCAATTTTTGTGATCTAAATGGAATTAAATGAAATACGAAATGAAAGGAATTCAAAGGTGTGGTTCGATCTTATAAAACAATAAGGCAGGAATGATTTGATCCAAATCGCCAAAACTGATTATTTTTATTTTGTTTTTACTATGTTGTCATAATTTGACAGACAAACTATTTGTGACACTAAGCCTATATCTGATTATTTAGCTTCAAAACACTGTTAGTAGTAACAATTTAGTATTTGATTGATGTTTTGTAAGAATAAATAAGTATTTAATACCATGTTTTTGATAAAATTATTATCAATGAATAGTACTAAAATTTTCAAAAGGTCATAGGTAAAAGTGATTATTTTAATTTTGGGATCTTTTGAAGATATAATTTATTTTGAATTTGGCTTTTTCTTTTCTAAATCTAAATTTATTGTTGAATATAATGTCTTGTATAAATTTTCCAAATTAAAAAGAATATTTTCGACCATACATATATATTTTTACTTATTCCTTGAGCAAAAATGATAGCATTGAGTTTGGAAAAATGGATATGAAGTTTATGTTGTACTTCTATTTATAATAGACTACTAATGCTTAAAATGGTTGCCACAAAAAAACTGTTCGACAGGATCGGTGGGTCGGGAATGGACATGAGGAGCAAAGCACGGGTAATTTATGCTTCTTGAACAATTATTTTTTTTAGTCATCAATTGTACTTGACGATGAAAATAATTCCTATTGGTTTCATAGACTATTTCAAGACCTGTCAAAGATGCTTCGGAGCTTCCCAAGTGGAATTACGATGGATCGAGCACTGGCCAAGCTTCGGGAGAAGATAGTGAAGTGATCTTATAGTATGTATAATCCATTGCTCGATTTTCTTCTCGCGTAAAATATTAGAATGATAAGTGTCGGAAGACTATAATATATAATATAATGATACATATCTCTATTATTTTAAACTTTTAGGTGAGATAATCGTTTAAGATATTTTCATATGGTCATTTAACAATAAGTAATAACACTTCCTTATGCAATGTGACAGCCCTCAAACAATCTACAAAGATCCATTTAGGCGGGGCGAGAATATTCTTGTGAGTTTGTATTTTTTCGGATATTTTGGCATATCATTTGTTATTACAAATTTGGTAAGAGTGGAAGTTTTTATTTCGTGGTGTATTAGGTCATATGTGATGCTTATACTCCAACGGGAGAACCTATACCGACAAATACAAGATGTAAAGCGGCTAAAATTTTTAGCCATAAAGAGGTTGCTGCTGAAGAGCCTTGGTATTAAACATCAAAAGTATGGTCGATTATGTTATCTGTACTTAAAAGATAATTTGATCCAATTTAAAATGGTTCTTATTATAGGTTTGGAATCGAACAAGAATACACTTTGTTGCAAAAGGATGTTAAGTGGCCCCTTGGTTGGCCCATCGGCGGTTATCCGAGATCTCAGGTGAGGCAATCGACGATTGTGTTCTTTTAACCATTTTATGTATTAAATATTTATTTTAAACTTTTCTTTTTTAAAAAAATATGGATTTTATTATATATTATTATGTAATAATTATTTTTCATGAGTTAAATTGGTCCGAATTGATCTGGACTCGTTTTGGGCTGAGTCGGGCTCAACTCGGGCTTGGTCCTATCATAAGATGTTAAGTTCAAAAGAGCCTGTATAATAACTTAGGATCAAGCTCGTGATCCCTTTTTTAACTTGTCCCAATCTTAGGTTGGCTTAAAACAGATGGTCGAATCGTCCCGATGGACAACTTGAGTGCCGCAAGGCTAAGTTTAATAGTGACATTTTTATTAAGGATTAAATTAAAAGTGATTAATTAATCTCCATAAACTTTTAAAAATATCATTTTGTCGAAATACAAATTATAAAGGCGGAATGGCTACTAAATTTTGAATAGGGTCCGTACTATTGTGGTGTGGGAGCGGACAAAGCTTTTGGACGGGACGTTGTGGATGCTCATTACAAGGCTTGTCTTTACGCCGGAATCAACATAACCGGTGTTAATGCAGAAGTGATGCCCGGACAGGTATGGCTTGTGCCGGGTTCCTTAATTGCTAATTTGAGGACATTTGTAAATATTGATTGTTTTAAGACATTCTATTGTTTATAGTGGGAATTCCAAATTGGACCTAGCTCGGGCATATCAGCTAGCGATGAGTTGTGGATAGCGCGATACATTTTAGAGGTAATAATCTTGCGATGATTGTTTTTCTTAATTAAATTCTTTCAAATTTTGTGAAGCATATCTTTTATTTTTCTAGAGGATCGCGGAGATTGCCGGGGTAGTTTTGTCATTCGATCCGTTGCCGGTTAATGTGAGCATCCCTTATTCCATTCAACTATAATTTTACTTCTCTAAAGTTATAGACATCTGAAAGTCTAAATTAGTGACAAAAATTTGCTCGCTGTCGAATTCAGTAGCCATCGGGTCCTAAGTGTAGTGAGCCCCTCATCGACGGATCCTGGATTGGTGAATTCATTTTATAATGTTATAACTTTTTTTTTTTTTTTTTATTAAATGATCATCTTGCATAAACGTTTAAAATTAAAAGATATATACATATCCTTTAAGTCTATCTTATGTTTCTAAGGTTCTGTTTATACAAAGGTTTTTAGAGTTTTGAAAAATTTTATAAATAGTAAAAAGTTGATATTTAATACTTTCACCGTCCCAATAGAGTTGTCTTGTTTATTCATTTTCGTCCGTACCAAAACAATTGTTTTATTTCCTTATTTAGTAATCGTGGTCTTCACTTTATAACAAAATTATTTTTACTTTTTTAAACTATCTCTAATTATTACTAAAAGTAAGAGTATTTTAATCTTTTACCTCCTATTTTATACCCAATTTCAATTAAATAATATTATTCATTAATTTACGTGCCTATTCCCAATAGGACATCTTTTTTTTAGAGGAAAGGAGTATGATATTTGTCTTAAAAAATATGTATTTAATTAATATGATATATATTTTTAAAATAACTATTAGAGGAAACGTCGTAACTTTCAAACGTGTGTATGTAAAAAGAATCTAAATTTTTAGTCTTATGATTAAATTTTTAGGGCGATTGGAATGGGGCCGGAGCTCATTGTAATTACAGGTAAAATATATTTGGACTCCAATACATTGGTAAAAGTTATATATATTATCAAGCATTCGATCTTTAAAGCTTTTATTTTCAGCACAAAATCTATGAGGAAAGAGGGAGGCTATGAAGTAATCAAGAAGGCCATCGAAAAGCTTGGACAAAGGCACAAAGAACACATTGTAGCCTATGGAGAGGGCAATGAGCGCCGTCTCACCGGAAAAAATGAAACAGCGGACATCAATAGCTTTAATTGGGTAAAAAAAAAAAAAAAAAAGGGCGTCGATCATTATTCTATAGTGTTTTCTTTTCCTCTCGAACTTGTTATGAAATGATCTTATTTTTGCTCGTGACATTTTCGATTGATTCTTTGTAGGCGGTTGCTAACCGTGGTGTGTCAATCCGAGTTGGCCGTGATACAGAAAAAGAAGGTAAGGGATATTTCGAGGATAGGAGGCCCGCTTCGAATATGGACCCATATGTTGTGACTTCGATGATAGCTGAGACAACCATTATTGCCAAGTGAACAATCTCAATGTGTTGCCAAGTTCGCCCTTTGTCTTTCGCAATTTTTGTTGTTGTGTTTGCAGTAACTTGAGTTTTATTAATATGTTAATATTTTTGATAAATAACAAGTCGTTAACAACTTCGAACTCGAAAGTTTTATTAGTAACGTCAAGATTCGTGATAAATAAAATTAAAAATAAAAAATCATCTAAGGTTGTAACTTAACTAAAATCTATCTGCTTTTGACTGATAGAAAGTATGATAGAGAACAAAGATTGTGTTCTCTTGTGTTTTCACATATCTTAATTTTTCTTCAAGAACATAACTTTTGAATATGAATTTTCATATTAAACATTACATCAAACCGCTATTTCACCTATTTCTTTTTTAAAAAATTGTAAAATAAAATAAAAATGTGCAAAAAACACATTCAAGATCTTATTAATGCTTTATATATATATATATATATACCGACAATGTTTGATGTTAGAATATTAATTATTCTAAAATTCTTTATTATACAACCACTTGAGACAAAATTTTCTTAACTATGAATTAGGTCCCATATATACAGGGATATATTTACTTTTAGTCTTTTATTTATTATGTCATATCATTCTATTCATTAAAATGAAGACTATTGAAATAATTTTATATACTATATATTCGTCTCTAAGGGTCCCATTTATTTTTTTGCTGATATTTGAATATTAATTATTATATCAAAACATAATATAAATTTAGAAAAAATTGCAAAATAGTTCAATATGTCTTATAATACTGATAGAAGGATATTTATACACGAATTATACAAATATAAAAATATTTTTAATGGTACGTACAATGACGCAAAATGTAAATATGACCTTGGAGGCGGGAAAGGGAGTATAATCTATAGTAGCTTCATTCAACATTGAAATATTGCAATGCATTAAATCTATGTTAGCTGTTGATGTTGGAAATGACCAAATGACTAGTCAATATCAACACATGTAGAGAGTATTTCAGTACTAAAAACTTTTTCAACAACTACAAATCAAAAGACGAGAATTATAAAAGGTAAAACATACGAGGCTAAAAAAAAATATTTATCCCATATAATTTAGCAAGATAAAGTAATTGTCATGTCTATGCAAGTTGGATAGTAAAAATGGATTTCATAGCTTGGTGAGAACCATCACTCTAGAAATAGACTTAATATCCTCTTTGGCAAGGTGTTCGTCGATCAATCTCCCATAATGTTCGAACAATTTGTCCAAGATTGTCTCCCCAAAGTGGTGCGCTAACATCGATTCTTGAATGGACCTAACCGTCAAGGTCACTACTTTGCCATAGTTCGCACGATCCTTCCCCATTTCGAATGCTTCCATCAGCTCCACGCGGAAGGACCCTTCCTTTCTTATCTCGTCTTCCAACTCCTCCTTCGATGGTGCATAGAAGTGGACCTCGTACCTATCGACTTTTTCCTTCTCCAATTCACCCTACCATTACACATATACAAACATTATTATGAGGAATATGAAAATAGTCATGAGAAGAAATAAAGTAGACAAACAATAAAAAAGAACACACCTATATTATTCCAATTATAATCCTATTTCTTTTTCTGGACTTGGTCTCACACTATTTATGGAAAAAGAATTTTTTCATTAATTAATATACTACCAAAAAAAAAAAAAAATTCTTTCATTCAAAATTCACATCAAAATACTTATTTATATCACATCAAATACTATTTCAATTTGATTTTTTAAAGGTTATTTGGTTTGCACTCAAAATCACTTTTTACTATTTTATCATTATAATTTGCAATAAAAATATATTATTATAATTATTATTTTTAATAAAACATCACATTCCATCGAGCCAAAATTTTCACTTTTTTGTTTTTAGTTTTGCATTGTTATTTAACTATTAATTTAGATATGATATTTTGTGAATATAGTATATATTTTTATAAAGAATAGTAAGAATTGCATAGTAAATAAAGTAAAACGATAACTCTAATTAAGTAAACAAAGTCTTATGCTTTCCCTAAACATATTATTTACATGTTCTAAGAAAATACCCGGAGGCGAGATTCATAAAATTTTCAAAACAATACTAGAGCATATACTCTTTAAAATTGGCCGCGATTTAACATTAATGATTGAGATTATCATTTCTATCTTAATCGACACATGAACAAAAGGATAAAACTCAAAAAATTTAGAATGGTATTGAGATGATCATACTTATCTTGATCGACACATGAACAAAGAACGAGAAAAAGCTCATCACATGTATATTTTAGTATCCTACGACTAATAGGAAAGCTCAAGCATAGAAACTCGGTGTTTAACAAATATATATTCGAGTGTCGAATTCTCTACCTGGTTTGCAAGATCCACAAGAGATTGATACAAAAGTTCCCAAAGGAGTGAAGTTTCGCGATCAGCGTGGCTTGAGCCTCTCCTACCCAACATTACCAACACCATTCTTCCCCCGCTCATCAATTCCTCGGATCGCGACTTTAGGAACAAAGAGAAGTCCTCTTGGAACTGTTTCAAGTATGCTTGGACTACTTGAGGTGGACTCCTCACAGAAATGTACAAGCTCCCTTTGTTCATCGTCTCACCATTTTTGTCGTAAATACCTGGAGGAACCTGCTCATAGTTTCATTTCATAAGTTATTTATAAAAATAGAATTGTAAAACATGCAAACTGTTCGTAAGATCAGCCCGGTTAAAGCTATTTTTGCTAAGTTTAACTAGTAACACACGAAAACAATTTTCCACTCACTATATTCACGAGTAAGCTCGAGGTTTGCCCCTATCATTAAAAAAATTCATATTTTTTAAAAATAATTTTTTTTATTAATAATTAATTAAATAGAGTTTTAATTTTTGTATATTAGTGCCAAATATGAAAAAAAAAAAAAATAAAAAAACCTCAAAATTTGAACAACAATTTTCAGCTTATCTTAACTATCACACAATTTTTGAAATTATTTTGTGCAACACGATGACTTCTGAGTAGAGCTGGCAATTTGTCGGGTCAGGTTTGAGTCGGGTCAAGTTTTTAAGCGGGTCAAACTACCCAACCCGCTTAAACTCGTTCAACCCAGAAAATGATTAATTAAATATTTTTTTAGAGAGGTCAGATAATCCGCACCCGACCTGACTAACACGAAATCAACCCGTTTATCCATTGATTTTTTTTTAAATTAAAATTTCACAAATCAAACTATAATCATATAATTAATCTTAAAAAAAATAAAAATTCAAAAGTGATTAAGTCAATAAAAAATAGCCTTACAAATATACATAATAAATAATAAAAATTATTAAAAATAATATTTCGTTTTAGACTATAGTGTTGCCACCGCTACTTCCAAGAGAGGTCACCGGTATGTCATAATACTACGCTAACCCAAATATGCTTAACTTAGGCCATCTAAAACAAAGAAACTTTTCAAAAATTTCTCTCAATTTTCATTTCATACTTATTTTCTTTTATTTCACAATCTCTTTCTTTCACCTCACAATATATTTTTTAATTTATATCAAAATAATTAATAATATTATTAAATTTAAATAAAATTATATCAATATATATCATTATGTAGAGAATAAAATTTTATATAATACAAAAATATAAACAAATAAAAATAAATAATATTTTAGAAAAAAAAATAAAAATTTTTGTGGGTTGCTATGCAGAGTAACCCAGAAAAAGCTTTTGATTTCTTTCAACAATGTGAGATTAGCGTAGAGGTTTCTGCAGAGAAAGAAGTCCCGATGCAGATGTCCTTAGAGTTCAAATGAAATATTAATGTCTCTGCAGGGTCAAACAATATTTTCAACTAGTCTCCCTTGAAAAAAGAATATTGAGTGGGACTCGATCTAGAGCTCAAACATGAAAAAGCTCGGTTTAGTTCGACCGTTAAAATAAGAAAATAGGAAATAAGGCTAACCTTAGATAGCCAGTGCAAGCTATTGGAAGAGTAGACAAAGTGCAAAGACTTGGTCGGAAAGAGCCTGCCGTAGAATGTGCCGGGATAAGCGCCGATGTAAACACACAGAGACCGGCCGGCGCCAATTTTAAGCTCGCGGTAGAGATCCGGGAGGGCTTGAAAAATGGTGTTGAAGTCATTTGTGGGGAGATCGTTTAGCGCAACTCGAAATTCAGGCACCGGTCGCGCCATATTCCCGGCCGCGATCTCTACCGCGCAGACAAGGTCTTTGATGTTGGACAGAGTGTTCGGGCCCGACGAGCAGCCTAAGTCGGCGATAGATACGATCTCCGGCGCCGTTTTACTGTACATTTCTTGTATGGATTCTAGTGTTATGTGCTTGACCTTATCAGCAACTCTTTTCTGTGTGTAATAAGATTGAAGAAGAAGAAGATGTTGAGATCATTGAATATATATATATATATAGAGAGAGAGAGAGAGAGGGGGGGAGGAGAGAGAGACCTGAAGGGAAGAATTCATGGAATAGCTGGTGTCTCCAAGGCCTCCTTTCATGTGGAAATTCTTTTCCATATCCATGGTAAGCGATTGATGATGGTGGTCAAGTAGTGTTATGTATTGTGCTTTTAAAAGGATATTCTTCGACTTGTTGGACACCACCATTCACACTACTACCCCTTTTGTCGATAATTTGATTTCTCTTAATTACCATAATATGTATTTTTATAAAAATTGAAATGTATATATTTTTTAAATAAGATTATAATAATAGAAAATTACCAAAATATTGAGTTATTGTGATTCTCTTCATCTACAAAATTATTATAATATATAAATATATATAATGAAAAATCGCAAATATCTCTAATTTATTATTCAATATTCACTAAATTAATATATATATCAAACTTTATTATATAATAATTTATTATTTAATATTTACTAAATCAAAATATATATCAAATTTTATTATATAATCATCAAATTTATTCGAATTTTATCACTCAATATACTTGATTATTTTTATTTGACAACGCGTCAATAACTATTTTTATATCAAATATTCAAATTCTAAATTCTAAATAGTGTAAAATAAAGGAGAAACAATAATTGAAAAATAGAATCATTGCGATTCCATTATAAAAAGCATGAAATTTAAGACAACCTTTATAAAATTTTATAAAAGTATTGTGTGTGCTCTTCTACTGAAAAATTTTCGAAATACTTTTCAATTAATATTATAAAAATATAAAAATTAATTTTCGATTATTATTATAAAAAATGGTTTAACCGTTACGAAGCAGGTTAGTCCTACTCAAACCAGTTGAATACAACGATGGAATTGCACTCATGCTTCTCCCGCATCAAGTTGACCGCCCTCGGAAAAAAAAAAAAGTATATTTAAAGAGATATTAATACCTTTATGTAAAATCATGAAATATTTTATTAATTTATGGGACATGCTAAAATTTGTGATAAATAATAGAATTAATCAATTAATAATATTTTTGGATTTATTTCATAATTATTTTATTATATATATATATATATATAGAGAGATATATATTGAAAAAATCACCCCAATAGATATTGTTGCCCTATTTTTGGAAGGGGCATAGCCAATTGAGCTTTAGTGGTCCACATATCATTATTACAAAGTAGAAAAAGTTTAATTCGAAAAATATTTGAGAAAAAGATAATACTTCCTCCATCTCGGGTCGGGTCAGATAACTCAGACATAATATTTTATGTAGTGTAGATTAATAAGTTATTAAAAGTTATGATATTATTTTTTATATGAATAGTATTGTTGGTATTTTAAATATTTTTAGCATTATATCTCAATAAATTTTATACAATATGAATACTACCATAAATTAGTTTTATAAAAAAATAGAAACTCCTATCTGCAGATTGATAAATTAATGATGTGTTCTCTTAATAGCTTGAGCTTTTAGGTGAGAGAGTTATTTTGCGACAAACTTAATTTACAAATCACTACATATAACACTAATCCTATCAGTAAGAGATAAGTGGAAAGAAAAACTCACACCTATATTCTTCTGTTTAAACCATAAAATTCGACGATCTGAAACTCTAATTATGATCTTCACCGTTCGAATTTTAGTACAAGACATTCCAAATAAAATACCCAAATTTAGCCCAATCCCACGATTAGATCTTCTGATTTAGTCTCAAAACCGATGTCGCTCCAATTGAATCTAGGAGAAACAAAGACCCTCTTCGTGGCTATAACACATTATGGTATTTTGATTTTGTAGAAAAATGAGTCACCAAACTTCTGTTATAAATTTGAGGACAATCCGATAGTCAAATATTCATAAATCATGGTTTTTATGTGCTTTATATCTCACAAATCATACCTTTCTTATCCATTCAACTTATATTTATACCTAGGGTTGGGTGTGTTTGTTTGGGGATTGGATTATATTTTTACTATTCATCAATTTCTTTCCTAAAAAAATATCAAATTAAACACCTATTTTTCATTTTTTATATTATACTAAAAATCAATTTTACATTTAAAATATCACATCAACACCTATTTATATCATATCATACAACTATTCAAATTCAAAATTTTTACTATTCAAATCCCAACTCAAAATCCAAATCCCCAAACAAACACACCCTAAATGTCCTCTACATTGGAAGAAAACTATACCAACAAAGCCTTTGTTTTTTGGATCGTGTGTATTCTGGATAATTGCACATATATATTTAATTTGCTTGCCCATAAATAGAGGTGACCATTTAATTTTTTCAGGTTAGGCTGATCTAATTTGTATTGGGTAGGCTGTTCGCGTTGGGGTACAAACCCAAGTTCCACATTGAAAGTTGTAAAGAAAATTATACAATTTATAAGTCTCAAGTGAACTCCATTAGTATAAGGTCTTTTGGAGAATATTCAAAAATAAATCCGTGCGGACTCAGCCCAAAGCGGACAATATCATAGTAGTGTTGAGTGGATTGAGTGGCATTGGGCATTGGTTGTTGTGCCTTGTGTCATAAGTACCTTTTTTTTTTTTCCAATAAGGTTATAATAATTTATTATTATTATTATTATTATTATTATTTTGGTTGGTTCATTTATACCTCCTACCATGCATTTTTATATTATAAGGAAAGTAAATTATTCTCCCTCAAGATACGATATTTAGGACTGGTATAATTAGTAGATAATTAAGAATGTATTAGTAAAAATAATTATCCTATAATATAAATAATTATAAATTAAGATTAAGATAAGTTTAATTAAAATTAAAAAGTTTAAAATGAGATTAAATTGTATAATCATTTTCCAAGAAAAAAGTGACTTAGAATGTGGGAAGGAGATAAACAACAATATGGACCTGATATGTGGAACGGAGGGAGTATTAAAAATTCTAAATGAGCAATACCACTTACCATCTAATCATTTCTCATTTAGAATTCCTAATATAGTTTAGTTTCCTTATAGTATAAAATGCATGGCAAGAAGTATAAATGAACACACCAAAATAATAATAATAATAATAATAATAATAATAATAATAATAATCATAAAGCCTTATTTCTGAAAAAAATAAAAGTACTTAAGACAAATTACCTGGTTTAATTGTGTATTGAAACTTTTTTAAAGATTCTGAATATATATATTTTATTCTGATATTCAATATAAAATATTAATATTTTTTATATTATCATGTGGATTGTTTGTTAAAAACAATATATAAACTATATAAAGATTCAATATCATATTGGACTATTGAGTATTGACACCATATTATAAACATATTAATCATATTGTAAATATTAATGTTTACATACTGAACGATTAAAGAATATTGAATCATAACATAAGTCTAAATCTGTTAAACATTACATAAAGAAAAAAAGTTATATACGTATTCCTTATAAATATTTTTTACATTCATATTATGCACTTTTACTATTGAAGACTCTCGTTTGCTGATAAATAATTAATGACTGTGTTTTCTTAAATTTCAAGCTTTTAGTTGAGACGGTCGTTCTGCATCTGACACTTAGAATTTACAAAAATACATATACATAATTTACAAAAATACATATACATAATTTTAAGACTTGTTTATGAAAATCATATGTACATGTACATATCAAAGAACCCTAGTTATATAATCGTATAATGATAAGTTTTCCAATCATTCAATTTTTATCGAGTATCGAATCAAATATTTTTTTGAGAACCACCGCTACGGCCACCACCGCTGACTCCAAGAATTGTCACCGTCAGCACCATTGCTTCCGCCACCAAGATCATTACCCATGTTTTCATCTTCCCTCCGTAAATGGTCATACGCCCCGGCAAGATAAGAAAAAGGGTCGGGATTATACCTTCTTCTTTCCCCACGAGCGTTCGAGAGGTCTTGGACTTGCGTCGAAGAGCCTGGAAGATTGTATTCCTCGGGTTGGACCTGCGCCAAGGCCTGTGTCGGAGAAGAAGACCCCAAAGGATGAGATGATACATATGTGGGTAGATTGTAGCTCGAGGGTAAGATAGCGCGGCTTGCGACAGAAATGTCGGGGAGATTTTGAATGGTCTGTACTTGCATCGGTTGCTGTTGCGTAGCAACCGATGCAGAGGAGCTTGCACCATTCTGAATCTCTTGTCGCCGTTTATTAATTTTGGCGAGGAGGTTCTCGAACCAAGTGATCCACTCTCTGACCTCCTCGCCATTAAGGCTCTCAATAGGTACTTGTTCCCACCAGTTTTTAGGGCGAATTCTATCAATCTCGTCAAGATAGTCAACCCTTTCAATTAATTTGTCTTTCGCTTCAAATACCTCGTCGAACTCTTGATTAAGTTGTGATATCCGGTCTCGGTAATGCGCCTCGAGGAGTAGATTAGGTTGATTGGTAGGCCGGTTGGGGTTTCTGTATCTTTCGAGCACGGACGCCATAGTAGGGTGGAAGAAGGAGTGCGGGATGTCTCTCGGGGAGAAAATGATGATTCCAATATCAATGCCGCAGAGAGTGCTAAGCTCGCTTGCCTGTTTGTACAGGTTAAGGCGACGCTTTGAGAACGAGGCATATAGATTTTGCATGTTTACAATACGCTCTATAGGAATTCTTTGTCGGCCCCGAGTTTGTCTGCCGGCCATTTTATAAATGAAAATTTTATGAAATTTATACAAAATAAATAATTAAAATAAGTGATACGAGAAGTGCAAGGAATTGAATGAAAATGTATGATAATTAGTAGTTTGTGAAGAGCAACTTATTTATAGTGGATTTTTTTTAAAAAAATAAAAATAAAAATAAAATTCATTCAATATGCCACAACTAATGCTATTTACTATATTTTTCTACATTCTTAATTTGTAGAAGTTACGTATATCATACATGGATCATATTAATTATGTAGTGTTTATGAAGAATGTATAATAATTTGGGTTGCATATTATTAACTAGTCAAAATATAATTTAATGTAGTAATATAAATTCTTAAATAAGGTAATAATATTTATATAGAGTTCTACATTGTATATACAGAAAATAGCATTATAAATATATTTACTATAAAAGAATTATTACTAATTTATTGTCATATTTTTAATATTTTCACTATAATTTTTTATTTAATACTGTTAATTAGTAATGATATATAAAATTATATCTAGATTTGATTTTTAGTTACTTACGATTGAAACTCATATTTTCAAAAATTCAATATAGTATAAATTTATAATAAATTATCTTAATTAAGAAAATATATTTACTTTGAAAACTATAATTAAATTATAATAATCAGTTTCCGGTCATTTGACTTTATCGAGTATAGAATACTTTGTCTTTTTTCCAAGTATTGTAGATGCCAAGATTATACACGTAAAGTAATTTAACATGTAAGCAGTGACGGATCTATATTGAAGTTTGGGGGTCAAACTCATCATCCAAGCCCTTCCCAATTTTTTTTTTTTTTTAAAGTATAATTTTTTCTAATTTTTCATTTAGTAATCAAATTTGTCCCCCCAATTGGGAATTAATACTCTACATAAACTTCTATATTATTATTATTATTATTATTATTATTATTATTATTTTAATTTATAATAATATATAATATTTTCATTTATAAATATATTATATAAAAAATAATTCATTTTGTTCTTCTTCACAACCACGTTATAGTGTTCATAAAAATTGAAAAAGTTAGGTCTGGGTTCAAACCCCCGACGCCTCAGGTCACCTGTCTCATATGGTTCGCCTAGTGTGACTTTCCCGTCATGCCTGATTTGCAGGGTATTAGGTTCGGTCGGATAGCGGCTGCGGGTTCCCGCATCATAAAAAAAAAAATGAAAAAGTTAAAATGACATCAAGTTGGTATAAATGAATCAATGAGAAAATTATTATATTATTTTTTGTACACACAGAAACAACCGTTCAAATAAAAAATAGGTTCGAAATAAATTGAAATTAACAATAAACAGTAAAAAAAATGAAACAAATAAACATAACAATTTTGGCCCCCGGAGCCGCAAAGCTGGTTCCGTCACTGCATGTAAGGGATATATGACCAAGTTAATTAAGATAATTTGATGGACAATGACAACATATTGTCATTGGTTATAACTTTACTAACATCCTATAAGTTGAAGATCTCTGAGAAGATTTCAAAAAATATTCTTCATACATACCTAAATATCACTTGGATCATTTACTTATTTTGCTGACAAAATGTATTATACACTTTTATAAAAATCATCTTTTTTGTCTAAAAAGCCTTGGGTAATGTTTACACAACGATTGTCCCACGTGCTGCTAAATGAAAAAAAATGACGACTTTTGCAACGATGTAAGGGCAAGTCCAACTAACTGCAAAAATTGGGGGGGGGGGGGGATTTTTGCAGCCCACTACAGTATTACTCTATATTTGGAGTAACTGAACACTCCACTTCATTTTTGAAGTGGAGTTTGTGTGGTGTTTTGTGGTATTTTTGTATTTTTGTTATTTTTTGGGATATATTGTATAGTTTTATTTTTTTAGAAAATGATATGTAATTTTATTTTTTTGAAAAATAATGTATAATTTTATTTTTTGGAAAGTGATATAATTTTATTTTTTAAAAATAATGTATAATTTTATTTTTTTAAAAGTGATATATAATTTTACCTTTCGAAAAGTAATATATAATTATATAGTTTTTTAAAAATAATGTGTAATTATATATATTTGGATTATATTGTAAAAATAAATTAAAGTTGAGGTGCAATTTATAAATATAAAAAGTTATATAAAATAATATAAAAGATGAATATATAGGGAATATGCTTTTTAGAGTGAAAAATTGAAGTTTATAGTTAGCGTAAAATTACTTTAGATCAACTGCATTTTTACCGTAACTACTGCAAAAATGAAGGAATGGATTGGAGATGGTCTAAGATATATATTGCCAATTAGATAAATAAAAGATAAAAAGTGATAATTGTATATACGTATAGAATATTTTCCTGTGATTTCCCTTCTTATGGATGCGGTTCAATATAGTTTTAGCGGTTGATGTGATTTGCATGCTATTTTGCTTTAACCGGAGGCTAATAGGTTTCTGGCTAACGTGATTATTCAACATATACTTGTAAATATGAAGTGATATACACCATAAAATTTTCATTGTATCCTATAAATTGAAATATAGAACACAAGAATGAGCTTTTGAATCTATGTTCTTAAGTTTATATATAAATTGGGGGCAAGTATCGCCTCATATAGATCGTGTTGCATTTATTTTGAATATAATATTTTGGATGACTTCTAGATTTTATGTATGTATATAAAATCATGAATAAAATTATTATTATTATTATTATTATTAAGCTATTTTATTTCATACAGATGCTATCAACATCAACGGGAAAATTGCAAAAATATCCTCATGTATATCTCATTATCACTTTTGTCATGTATTTATATCGCTGACAAAATATATCTCACATGTTTGCCAATGTCGCTATTTATATCTTTTGGCCGCGTGTGATCGCTCGCGGCCGTGCGTGGTGTGAATGTCACGCGCGGCTAAAAGACATAAATAATGACTTTTGCAAACATGTATGATATACTTTGCCAGTAAGATAAATACATAACAAAAGTGATAATCACGTATACATGTCGGGTGTTTTTTACAATTGTCTCTGCTATCAACAAATAATTATCATTTACAATTTATTAAGTTAAAATTTTTATGTACATTTTTATACTTTATGTCACAAAATCATCTTAATATGTTATTAAGCTATTTTAAAAAAATTGAGAAAGTTTGGGTGTGTTTGGTTTTGATTTGTGTTCGAAATTTTGATTTAATATTTTATGAAAAAAAAATGTATTTTTTCGTTTTTCATAAAAAAAAAAATCGTATGAACTGAATAATATAGATTTTGATTTGAAATCATAAACAAACACATCCAAAATATCTTATTTTCGTTTTGTATATATAACATAATAGTACATAAAAATATATAATTATAATATTGAGGTGTTATGGACGAGCTTTGTGAATACTTATCAATTTTATCGAATTTTTTAAATAAAATTAGAATATTTAATTACATTTATGTAAGAGGGAGAGATTTTAGGTTAATGAACATTCAAAAATAATTAATTGAATAATAATAATAATAACAATAACCAAAATTATAATCATAATCATATTCATATATAATAATAAACACTCTACTAAACATAAACTTAAAATTTTTGACTCTTTATATATACATTTTTAAAATTTTATTGTAAAAAAACAGGAAATAAGAAAAGTAGAGTGAACAAGGCCTTTGATATTATTGCCCATGAAACGAAATACATATTTTTATCGAGAATATCATTGACACATATCAAATTTGGTAAGAACTATTTATGTCTCGAAGAACCACTGCCGTCATTTCCGCCACCACGATCATTTCCGTTGTTTTTCATCTAACATAGTTTCTCTGATGCAGATACACTTGCGTTAGTTACCTACATACATAGGAGATAGGCCAAGTCACAATAAAACAGCCACAGACCAAAACTCGGCTGAATTTCTTAGAAGGAAGGTAGTCGAGGAAAAGCTATCAAGGGCATGTGAAAACAAAAAGAAAAAAAAAAACTTTGAGGTTGAAAAGGAGAGAAGGAAAAGAAGATAAAGTTTCGGCTTTATAATTTGGAGCATGTTGCAACCGCACACTAAACGTAGGTGTAGTGATGTCTTAGAATCACAGGGTAGTTTTTCGAACCATCTGAAGATGATTTGTTGAAAAACCCCAGAAAAATATTTTAGTGAAATGAAAAATATAAAATAAATTGATCGTCGAAGAGAAGATAATTATCCCAACATCAATACCACAAATGGTAATGAGTTTACTGGACTTTTTATATAAGCCAAGACGACCCTTTGAGAATGAAGCATATAAATTTTGCCTGTTTTCAATACATTGGATAAGAAATTTTTGGCGCCCCCTAGTTTGCGTACCCGCCATTTTACAATTGCATGTCTACCCGCCTATGTTGTGGTGATGAACAAGGGCTCATAGTGAGCACCTATTTATAGTAGATTTTTAGTTTTATTATTATTATTTTACAAGTAACAACTAATTAATATATTCGTAATTTACACAAATTATGGAAATATCTATATAATTTTATATTTGTTACATATTATATTAATAAGTCAAAAGATTAATTTATTATTGTAATCTCATGATTTATAAAATTCTAACTAAGATAATGATAATTAAGTTAAATGAATAACATGCACCATATTATTCACATGGCCAAAAGAAGAAAATTATTGACATCAAATTTTAAGAATGACTAAAATCTTCGATGTAATTGTGGCATGTCATAATATATTTTGTACAAATTCTAATATTACAAAACTATAATATTGTTGTAACAAATTTTTATTTGCAGAATTTTTGAATGATTTCATACACAATATTTTGTAAGTGAATTTTCTGATAAACTAAGTCTAATTACTTAACTTTAATTTTTTTTTTTTTTTTGAAAATTTTGCAAAATATCTATTGTATGTAATTGATACAGTTGAAGTTTAATATAAAATCATAATTA